TTCTGCAGCAGATGCATCTTTCAGCACAACAGTCCTCCAATCATTGGTACCACAGAGTTCCTCACACCCACCTCCTCAATGAATACTGCTTGTCAGTCACCATCACTCAAAAAAGAAAGAAAGGTTACTTACCTTGTACAGTAAATGGAGTTCTTCAAGATATGTGGTCCTTATCATTATTCTGCTACCCTCCTCCTTCCGCTCTACTATAGAGAATTATCCTGGACAATCTGTGGTAAAAAGGGAAATGGAGAGATGGTCGGCCCGAATTGCTCCTTACATCCTCTGGTTCAGAACATGAGGAGGAGAAGGGTGCAAGTGCAGACAAACAGATGCTGCTAGCAAAAATGTTCCTGTCTCTGGTGCATGGAGTACATGTGAACCCGACAGCGGAATACACCCAAGGACTATACATCTCAAAGAACTCCAGCTACTGTACAGGGTAAGTAGCCTCTCTGTCTGCAGGGAAAAGTGGGAGAAAACAGGAGAGAAAAAATGTAGGGGATGAGGTAGAGACTATAGTGTAGAGGAAAAAAAAGAGATAAGGAATGGAGGTAGAGAGAAAGAAAAGAGGAAATAGTAAATGGAGACAAACTTGGAAAAAGGTTAACTCTGATCCACAATAGGAAAGAGCATGTGGGATGAAGCCAGGGAGAGAGAGTACGCAAAAACATAAGCAAGAAAAACAAAGTCAATAGAGTCATTCAGTGGCATTGAACAAAACTCTGTGAATAGATTATTTGATGGATTTCATCAGAATCCACCAAGTATTTTATTCAATTGATACTTTTCTAGTAACTGACTGGTTCATCAATTACTATTCATTAAATGTTTTGTTAGATGAAATTTGTCAAATATATCTAATGAATATTTATTTCCGCATTCCACCTGCCCCAGGGCTACATTAATTTTTAAACCTCTATTAAGTAGAATGTGGACTGACAGTATTACATTTAAATACAGCACACAACTGTTCGGTTGTTTTGAATTGCAAGTGAAAACTTGAAAGCGGCTTTGGGTAAGTGCTCTTTATATGGCAGCGTGGGTATTTTTCACATTGGCTTGACAACTTAGACCTTGGGCTATTAGGTGTCAGGTAACATTTTCAAGATCTGCACCCACTTTTGAAAATGTTGGCCTCAGGATTTGGCCCATTTAGCATTATTACCCCATGCTGTGAAATATTTTCTCAGAGGCTTGAGGATAATACACATTGTAAATGTGAACTTAAATTTCTACAAAAGATTCACTTCAGTGTGCCGTTTTCCATACCTTAATTCACTGTTCCATGTGTTTCCTGCTGATACCTACTTTAGGGTTGAATGAGATAAAGCATAGGCTGTAAGGTGGTTCATTGTGCTGCAAGGAACAAGTTGTAATTTACTAATTGACCATATTTGTGATTATCTCAGCGAAACACCAGATTTCAGTGTCAACTAAAATAAGTCCAGAGTAAAATTTAAAGTCTAACTGTTCTCAGGCAGTTTCAACATTATAAGCTATTGGGGACAGGTTTCAGAGTGGTAGTCGTGTTAGTCTGTATCAGCAAAAACAATGAGGAGTCCTTGTGGCACCTAATGGCCTGAATAAAGACTGGGAGTGGTTGGGTCATTACAAAACCTAAACTTAATTTCCCCATTACTAATTTCTCCCTACTGTTACTCACACCTTCTTGTCAACTGTCTGTAATGGGCCACTCTCTTACCACTTCAAAAGTTATTTTTCTTCCCTTGGTATCCTGCTGTTAATTGATTTATCTCATTAGACTGACCTCACACTTGGTAAAGCAACCCCCATCCTTTCATGTATTTATACCTGCTCCTGTATTTTTCACTTCATGCATCTGATGAAGTGGGCTCTAGCCCACAAAAGCTTATGCCCAAATCAATTTGTTAGTCTCTAAGGTGCCACAAGGACTTCTCGTTGTTTTAGCTATTGGGGAGTTCTAGATAACACCATAATGCCATATTATCATCTTGTGGTTCAACATTTCTGCTAAGATGTGTTTAATAATAACTCAATAACCTGAATGAGGTTCAGTCAATTTGGGACCTATATACTGTATTTCTGTAATTGTACTTTCATTTGAAAATATTGCAGCTGTCAGTAATAATTTGTTAATTTTTCTTTGGCCTGGTCCACCTGTTGTCATGTTGACACGTATAAATAGGTGAGAATAGTTCTGGAATTTTCTATTATAGCTTCAGGGAAAACATCCCAGCCTTGCTACTATGAGCCAAAAGGTGGGGAAAGGAATGGAGTGGTATCAGCCAAGCAAATAGTTTCGGGTCCATCCTGACAGCACAATACAGGTAAACTCAGGGAAAGAACTTAGGCCCGGATCCGCAAAGAGACTTACTCTGAGCGTCACAACACCTAACTTTTATACATCTAGAAAATCACAGGAACAATTTGATCTAGAAACCCTGAGTTGGGCACCTAGGCTCCCTATACAGTAACTCCTCATTTAATGTTGTCCCACTTAACGTTTTTTCAATGTTACCTCCCTGCTCAATTAGGGAACATGCTCATTTAAAGTTGTGCAATGCTCCCTTATAACGTCGTTTGGCTGCCTGCTTGTAAGATTCTGTGGAAGAACAGTGACTTTACAAGGGAGAATTGCACAAGTTCTGCTTCTCCGCCTCCTCCCCCTTCCTCACAGCGCTTCCCCCACCTGTTTGGCGGCACTTAGGACTTTCTGGGAGGGAGGGGCAGGAGCGGAGAAGCCCTGCGTCTCCGCTCCTCCCCCTCCCTCCCAGAAAGTCCTAAGCACCGCCAACCACCTGTTTGGCGGTGCTTAGGACTTTGGGTGGGGGGGAGTGTGGCGTGCTCCGGAGAGGAGGTGGAGTGGGGGTGGGAAGAAGTGGGCCTGGAGTGGAGCAGGGACAGGAAGAGGCGGGCCTGGCACATTTCCAGCAAAATCCGAGCCTGTTCTCAGGGGAAGCTACCGCTGCTGCTGCAAAGGTGCTTCCTAGCGTTCTTGTCTGCAGCGGGCTGTGCCTGTGTGGGGGTAAACCAGGGACACTTCCCAACCACAGTACAGTACTGTACAGTATACAGTATAATGCCTTTTGTCTGCCCCCAAAAAATTTCCTTGGAACCTAACCCCCTGCATTTACATTAAATCTTATGGGACAACTGGATTCGTTTAACATTGTTTCACTTAAAGTTGCATTTTTCAGGAACATAACTACAAAGTTAAGTAAAGAGTTACTGTACAATGAATGGGGAGAGATAGGCACCTCAGAATGTGATCCACAAAAGCCAGTGTCTAGCTGGGGAATGATCTAAGTTAGCCTATGGAAGATACCAAGGAGAGAGTTGTGTCCCAAAGCCCCTTCTGTCTTATGGAGTTAGGTGCCTAAGTCCGGCTGAAGGGAGATGCCTATCTGTGCTAGCAATCTACAGTAGGTAACCTCTGTCCTGCAGTCAGGCAACTCAGGCAATTAATTTGTATCTTGTGAGAATGTGTGCCTCATTTGGCACAAAATGGTTGGAGGAGAAGATGATGGTGCTTACCTTACAATTTTTAGCCCAGTGATTACAGCACTAACCTAGGGTGTGAAAGACCCAGCTTCAAGTCCCCCTCTGCCTAAGGGGGAAAAAGTATTTGAACAGGGGTTTCCCCCCTCTCAGAAGATTGACCTATGGGATATTCTGAAATGGGGTTCCCTTATTCTCTCTTGCTGCAGCTGCTTCAGTGTGGATAAATAATTAGATTCATTGGAGCAGGGGGTCTTGACCCTGGGTTTCACCTTCCTTGATGGTTACCTTAAATACCAGGATGTAGAGTCATCCTTCCTCTGTTTTGCTCTCTTTGACCTTGAAGCTGTACACTTTGAATAAATACTTAAACAGGAGACTCTGAGGGAGCCTCATATTAGAGTATCCTATAGCCTAATGGTTAGGGCATTCTGGTGAGAGAACCCTGTTCATATCCATTCTCCCCCTCAGGCAGATGGAGAAATTGAACCTGGGTCTTAGACATCCCAGGTGAGTGCACTAACCACTGGGCTAAAAGTTAGAAGACTGTCCATCACTGTCTCTTGCCAGATTTTGAATGGGCTTTGATACTGCAAAAATTTAGGCATTGAGTGAGTTTAGACAGCAGCTGATCAGGGATTTTGTGGATTGCATTGCTGCCTAAAACTGTGATTTATGCGTCTTAAGTGCGTTAGTGGATCTGAGTCTTGCCTTATGATGCTGCTTCAGGAAGGGGCAGGATGCACTTTCCGGAGTGCACAGTGCTGTCAACAGTTTATATGTTATTAGTCCAGGAATTTGGCTATTCCCCTCAGATTAGCAGATCCGGGCAATATACTGCAGCATGCTGGGCATGTTAGCCAGGCCCCACCTCATATTGAAGGTAGCACCAGTTCAGAATCCTACTCTGCTTCTGTGCAGGGGCTTTGGCGAAGCGGAAGAGACTTTTGTCAGATTTTTCTCAATACTGATACTAATAGTCTTTCGTTCCCTTGCAATGACTTATCCAAATACACTGTTTCATACTGAACATGAACATTATATATACTAATGCTCGTGAAGATTCCCAGGTCAGATAGAGAGCTATCTAGAAAGATTAGCATCATTGTTGCTTTTAAGTGATTCCATTGAATATACTTTGTGGTAAATTTGGACGACGACATCATCATCTTTCTTTCTTTCTTTCTTTCTTTCTTTCTTTCTTTCTTTCTTTCTTTGTATTTCTGTAGCACCTAGGAGCCCTAGTCATGGATAAGGATCCCACTGTGCTAGGTGCAATACAGATTCATAACAAAAACGGAGTGAATGTTAAGAAACATCGAGATTAAATATTACCGAGTGGTAAACTCAATTACTGTGGTGCATTCTCAGGCCCCCCTACCCCCCCAAAAAATCAGTGCATTACATTTAAATATTTTTTTAAAATATAGAGCTAAGGTAACATAAATGCTACATGTTTTTGGAAAGATGGTAATAGGATGATCTGTCAACTAAACTTTTTGCTCATTTTTTTTTAGAGCCCAGTGATAGACCTCCAATTCTTCTGATTGCAAGCTCTGAAACTATTGATGTATTATATCTTAATGGAAGTCAAGTTTCTACTCCAAACTCAGTGAAAGGAAATGGAATTAATACACTGGATTTTATATACAATAAGGACATAATTTGTTGGATTGAATCGAGAGAATCTTCAAGTCAGCTGAAATGTACCAAGATATCAAAATCTGGGAGATTAACAGATGAATGGATAATAAACATTGCTCAGTATCTTCACAGTAAGTATTTTAATTTTGTTAGTGGGATTCCATTAGCAAAATAGTATAAAATACCTGTCTTTCTAGCAAACTTTGCTTGCAGACTTAAAAACTGTTATTTTGGTGGTTAGTGTTGCTGATATTTCAAGATATTCTGTTGCTCTGCAGAGGCATTAAACATTGAAAGGCACAGAAGCATTTTTCTGCTTTGTTGCTGTTTCCCTCTCTAACGCATAGACACAGAGGCTTGAAAAAAGCTGAGAGTTTTCACAGAGTCTAACTGCACTGTGTGATCGGTATGATATTACAAAAAAACAAAGGCATTACAAAGGAAGAAGAAACTTGAAAATGCCTTTTTTTCTGAAATGTGTTGATAGATAAAATTTGTTGAAAATGATTGTTTACTTCCAGATAAATGATAAGATGCTAATTAACAACATGTGCATATAATTGTCACATTTATTGTAGATTAGTAGATCATTACTTTCAAACACTTGTAATATTTCCTAATTTACTGGAAATTTCTCACTTTTGCACGAGGAAGATTTAGAGTCGCCCTCATGATGAGTTATCCCTCTGTGCAGTTTAACTAGCGTAGAAAGATTGTGCAATGCTAAACTTTAGAATGCCTCTGAATTGGAATCTCCATCATTTTGCCCTCTTTTTCTGAAAACCCTACTCAGTCCTCTCTTAAGTAGAGATGGACCTGAGCCAGACAATTCTGATCTAGATTTTAAACCCCTTCACCACCAAGTCTGGGCGTGTTCGGACCCAGGGTTTGATTGGGACTATAATGGAGATGGGGCCAACTGCAAAATATGGCTACAGGTCCTAATGATGAATTTCTGCACTTAGGCAATTTCACAACTACTATTCAGATCACCAAGAAAAATACCTTTTTCAATGTATGCCTATGGCATAAGGAACTTGATCCCTCTTACACATCCATCCATGCCCATCCTTTACTACTTTGAAAATCAAGAACTTTTTTTTAGTCAGAGGAATTTACTACTTTCGCCACTGTCTGCCCTTCTGAGTGATCCTACATTTCCCCTCAGATACTAAGGCTACTTTGTATTTTTGACATGTTCTTATTTTACTTGGACTTCCATTGTGTATTTTTCACAGTTCTTTATATTTTCACTACAAAGTCCCAATTTTCTTGTCAGTGGGACTGGAGTGGGCACTTCCTAAATATCTTTTTTGTTTTTTTTATTGCATAAAATGAAAGGAATTAGCTAGGGTTCTTCACAAAATTAATGGTTTATAATTAACAGTGTGTCCCCTCATCCTCTAAACTCCATCATCAAGGCACAGTCTCAATGCACTATTTGGGTCTTCCCCAATTCCCGTCTGTGCTCCCTATGCATAGAAAGACTTAACAGTCCGAATGCTGCAGTGTCTGCATTAGCACATCTGTTTTAAGAATCAGGGTTGAACTATGATTGGGAAATAAACATAGTGGCTCAAATCAGTGAGCTAATCAGTTTTCGTAGGCACTGTATTTTCACACCAGTCTGTGGACTCTATATATTTTTTTCTGAATCTTTACATCTAACTGTTTGGTCTAATTACTTTTGAATTGATATTTCCCTGGCTATGGAGTATGCTACAAAGATTTGTTCCAACTTTTAGTTTAATCTTGACTTAGATAACTATACTGTAGTCTCATTCCCTGCCTCATTGGACGGATAAAAGTAATCCACCTGGTGCTTCTAATCAGGCCAATCTCAAGAGGCACTAAATTCCGCTTGGAGTTACCTGAAACTGTATCCTACAGGGGAGAATAGGCCCTCTGATGGCTACAATCCACAGCCTCTGGAAAATTAAATTTTAGCATCTCTCTCTCTCTCTCTCTCTCTCTCTCTCTCTCTCTCATACACACAATTTTTCTCATTTTGCAGTGTTTACTTAATATAAATTAATTAAGTTTCATTTGACAACCAATAAAGAACACCTGATTCGGCATGTTCCTGTGTCAGCCAAGTCTAACAAATGGTCATACCCATAGAATTCTTCAAATAAAAATGAACAGTAGTCTCCCTACCATGGAAAGATATTCCCTTAGTTTCTCTTATTTGGTGTTTTACCCAATAACAGGCACAACAAGAACAAAGGGCCACCCCTGTGAAGTCTTTGTACAGAAAACAAAGAAAAATACTGCCCTTGCAGTGCTTCTTTATCCCAATCTTGCAAGGTATCTGTTTGTGACTAAACACTATTCAATATCTTTACCAATGATCTGGAGGAAAACATAAAATCAGTGATGGTAAAGTGTACATATGACACAAAAATTGGTGGAATGATAAATAATGATGGGGATAGTTATATGGATTGACCTGAATTGCTTGGTGAGATGGGCTCATTTGAATAATATGCTTCTTAACAAAGCCAAATGCAAGATCCCACATTGAGGATTCTCTGTAACTTGAAGTCTTTAAATCAAGATTTGAGTATTTAAGTAACTCAGCCAGAGTTATGGGCCCACTGCAGGAATGGGTGGATGAGGTTATGTGCAGGAGACCAGATTAGATGATCATGAAGGTCCCTTCTGGCCTTAGAGTCTGTGAGGAACAAAGGGGTAGATCAAAGGAATCTTAGACACTTAAGCATTTACCTGCCACTAGGCTATGGAATATTCTGGGATGGGTTTCTCTTAGTGACTCCTGTTGAAGCTGTTCCATTTTTTATAAGTAATTGAATAATCATGGGACCAAAGAAAGAGAGAGAGAGTGACTCCATAGCCCAGTTGTTAGGGTACTCCTCTGGGATTTGGGAGACTTAAGTTCAAGTCTCTGTTCCAATGACTGTTTAATTAGTTACAAAGAATAGAACAGTTTCAATAAGAGAGATTGAAAGACAGACCCATCCTGGAATATTCCATAGTATAGTGGTTAAGGCACTTTCCTAAGAGATAGAAGACGTGGCTTCAAATCCGTGCTCCAAATCAGGCAGAGGGTAGAATGGCACCTGGGCCTCCCACATCCTGGGGGAGTGTGCTAACCACTGGGCTAACAGTTGAAAGGAGGCACTGTCACTATGTGTGTGAGTTTTTTGTTTTTCTTGTGAAAAAGGACTTAGGTGCATAACTTTCATACAAGGGCATGGTGTAGGATATTCCACTTTCCTTGGAATTTCCTAGTCGTTAGCCAAGGCAGCTCCATGCTCAGATCAGTGGCTGTGGATCACCATTCTGAGGTGCCCATATATTGTATTGGGAGCCTAATTCTGTAGATTCCATTAGGCAGCAGAGCACCTATAGTTAGGCATTGCGATGCTGAGCCTAAGTCCTCTTTGTGGATCCAGTCCAAAGAGCGAGGGAACATTTATAAGTTGGAAGACTATATTCTGAAAAGCAGGAAAAGGACTTAGGGGTCATAGCATGATTTCCCGGTGGGATGCTGTACCTAATAGTGTGAACACAATCCTTGGATATATAAGCAGGAAAATATCAAGCAGGAGTAGGGAGGTGGTAATACCTCTGTATGGCATTAGTAAGACAGTTTATAGAATACTGTCTCCAGTTCTAGTGTCAACACTTCAAAAAGAATGTTGACAACTTGAAAAAGTTCAGAAAAGAGCTACAAGAATTATTCTGGAAAATTTGCTTATAGCAAGAGATTCAGACATGTGGTTTATTGATGAGAAAGTTAAAAGGTGACTTGTTCACAGTCTGTAAGTACCTACCTACATGGGGGGAAATTCTTGTAGCAGACAGTTCTTTAATCTAACAGAAAAAAAAACATAGTGAGATTTGATGGCTTGAAACTGAAGCTAGACAAATTCAGACTATAAATGTGGAGCAATTTTTTAACTGTGAGGGTAATTAACCATTGGAACAATTTTCCAAGGGACATGGTGGATTATCCATCAAGGCAGGATATCTTGAGAAATTATATTCTATATCTCAAAATGAATCGATAGGCTTGATACAGAAATTATTTTATGAGGGTTTTGCGCCTGTGTTACACAAAAGGTCAGACTAGATTTCACAATGGACCCTTCTGGCCTTAAAATCTATGAAGACTTCCATAAGAACTCTATCTCTCAGCCGGTTCCATCTGGCTGGAAGCACGCAGCCCCCACTTGATCCATCAGCACTGACAGGAGAGGGGAATTTCAGTCAACCCTCCACATTTTGAACTCCAGTCTCCGGGCCTGTGAAAGTTAGCAACCTGGTTTTCCATCCCAAATCACAAAATACCACTTCAGACCTCTTCCTCTCCCTCAACAACTACATCCTTTCTCCAACAGGTATGTTCTCTGAATAAAACCCTGTAACTAAGTAGTGCTGGCCTTTGTGGCTATTTTCAAGTACTTACATGGGGAAAAAATTCTGATGGTAGACAGAATTAAGATTAACCTAGCAGAAAAAAAGCATAATGAGAGATAGAGGTACAGTGATAGGCTCATTCTCGAAGTGTGTGTGTGTGTGTGTGTGTGTGTGTAAAAACACTCCTCCTTACCAATGGCATCTCTCAGAGTTGGCCTGCAATTTCTTTCCCTCTTCCTTCATCTCTACGACAGCATGACTCTTGCAACTGTAGAGAAGTGTAAAGGAAGGCCAAACATTTCCAAGTACAGAAGAAGGTTTTGTAAATGATAAATGAAAATAACATTACGCTTTTTGCTGCGGTCAGCACTTTTTTGCAAGTTGTTCCATGTAAATTTATCTCAAAACAGGCATAACAGTCTGAGAACCATCATATATCTGCAACATTTTAATATATAAAATACTCTTTGATTAGATTATTCTGCTTGTAAAATATATCAGTGTTTTGAGTTTTGTTAGCAAGATTTTGTAAAATAGAATAATTGTGCATGCTATCAACATCTAAAACTAATAGATAGTTTGGTGGGGATCTGAAATGTGAGACTCTACTGAACATTTTACAAATGTGTTTTTATTATTACCAGTTATAAGATTAATTTAATGTAAAAAGTACATGAACAAAAAAACCCAAAGAAATAGTAGCATTTTTCTAGTGTGGAATTAAAGGAGGGAAAAACAAATAAATGTT